GATTTGACCCCATGCGTTCGCACCAGTTCAGTCCCCGTCCGTAGTTGATCCAGGGCGCGATCATTCGTCGTCGGGCTCGACCTTGGCTTTGTCATTTGGGTCATGAAAGCGGCCTTGCAACACGTAAACGTGCACGCACATGGCGACAACCGAGCGACCCTGCGGGCTCTTCGGGCACAAACAAGGGCACCAAGCTCACCGACTTTGGTGCTTCCCGCGTCGCCGAAGAAGACGATCTCATGACCAACGGCATCGGCACGTACCAGTGGATGGCACCAGAAGTCATCTCGGGCACCAACTATGGCGCGCTAGCCGACGTCTACTCGTTCGGTATCATGCTTTCTGAGTTTGCGACACACCAAGTGCCGTACGCCGACCTGCGCCACCCAGACTCGGGCAAGGCTCTCCCGCAGCACTACGTCTTGAACAACGTTCGTGAAAGCACGCTGCACCCGACGTTCGACGGCGAAGGCGTGCCGGCATGGGTCAAGGACATTGGTTTGCAGTGTCTCTCGCTGTACGAAGAGGACCGTCCGACGGCGCTGCAGTTGTCGTCGATGCTGCTCGATTGTAATCTTAATTTGCTTGCGCTAGGACGGCGAGACTGCACTACACGTCGCTGCGGCTCACGGCCGTGAAGACGCGGTCCAGTACTTAAAGGTAATAGCCTAACTGGTCGCGATCCCGTTCTTCTGGGTGCTCTGCGACCGTGGTTTGGCCGTGCTACAGCCCTCGCAACCAACTCTTGCTACGCTCGACCGAGTGCACAAACATAGCTTAGCTCACAACATACATACCTTTTGGCCTTTTGGCCCTTAGCGCAAATTTGGTCGTCAGATAACTTACCACCGCCAACGACTTGTCGGCAGTGGTGTCCAATGAGGTCCCAAGCAGCGAATTTGGACTTGCCATTATACGTCGATCGCGATTGTCTAGAGTTACAGTGAAGTGCTAAATCACCGTCAGCGACGATAGACCTACTACTTAGTTGGTACATTGCAGTTGGTGCAGCGGGCTCGCAGTCGGGGGAAAAGCACTTGGGTACATGTACTACTGGTACATGCATTACGTGCATGCCGCGTCATGGCCTCGGAATAAGCATCTGATTTCAGAGCACGAGCCACTGAACCCACGTGCTCTCACCCAGTACG